AAAAGCTTCGGATCTCTGTGGGACTTTTCGGTTGTTCCCACTTCATCACAGCTTCGATCTTCGCTGGATCAACGATTATCTCTTCTTGGTTGACCACGTGACCCAAGAATTGGACTTCACGAATCCAAAAATCACATTTGGAGAACTTCGCATACAACTTCTCCTTCTTCAAGACTTCCAACACTTCTCGCAAGTGTCTGCCATGCTCCTCTTGGCTTTTCGAATAAATCAGAATGTCATCTATGAACACTATCACAGATTTATCTAGGAACAGATTACAAACCATGTTCATTAAATCCATGAATGCTGCTGGAGCATTGGTCAGTCCAAACGACATAACCAAGAACTCATAGTGTCCATATCGTGTTCTGAATGCAGTCTTCTCGATATCCTGCTCCCTTACTTTCAGCTGATGATATCCTGACCTTAGGTCGATCTTTGAAAAATAACTTGAACCTTGTAGTTGATCGAATAGGTCATCAATCCTCGGCAACGGATATCTATTCTTTATTGTTGCCTTATTCAGCTCTCGGTAATCAATGCACATCCTCATGCTTCCATCTTTCTTCTTTACGAATAACACCGGCGCTCCCCAGGGTGATGAACTAGGTCTAATGAAACCTTTATCCAATAACTCCTGAAGTTGCATCATCAGCTCCTTCATCTCCGTCGGTGCTAATCGATAAGGTGCTTTTGCAATTGGCGTTTGTTCCGGGTAACAAGTCAATACGGAATTCCACTTGTCAATCAGAAGGTAATCTAGGAAGATCTTCGGGAAATACTTCCGGATAATCACATACAACGGGAATATTTTGCATCACCTTCTTTTCCTTCTTAGCATCGATCACAAATGCCAAGTACGATGTACACCCCTTGGTCAAACATTTTCTGGCTTTCATTAGAGAAATGATTCCAGAATTTACTCTGCGTTTATCTCCGTACACCATAAATGACTCTTTCCCAGGCGGGTTCACTTTCACTATTTTCTTCTTGCATAAAATTTTAGCATCATTGGCGCTAAGCCAATCCATTCCCAAAACGATGTCGAAACCATTAAGCTCTATAGGCAATAATTCCTCGTGGAACTTATTCCCATTTAGATCAATTAAGATGTTTTCATACGATAGCTAACATGTACAAACTTGCCACTAGCAACTTCGACTAATAAAGCATTATCTAGTCTAACAACAGGCAAAGCTAGTTTTCTACCAAATTCATGCGATATAAAGGAGTAGTTGGCTCCAGAATCAAATAAAATTTGGGCATGCAAATTGTTAACGAGAAAAGTACCTGAAGCGACATCAGCTTCATCCTTAGCAGCTTCCAGTGTCATCTGGAATGCTTTCACCTTTGGCTTTGGCGGAATGTTGGGTCTTGCTGCTTCCTTCTTTTTCGGACAATCCCTTGAGATGTGCCCCTCCTCACCGCAACCATAACAAACATTCTTGGTGAGGGTGCAGTTGTTGGCATAATGCCCTGACTTTCCACATTTGAAGCATGTGACCACTTCCCCGTCACATTTCCCATGATGCTTCTTCTTGCACTTGTCGCACCATTTCGCCTCTACCTTTCCTCCACTTCCTCTCGAACCATAGTTCGAGAATTTACTTTTCTTGCTGGATCCTGAAGATTCCTCGAACTTCCTCTTTTCACCAACATCTATCCTTTCCAGAACCTTTTCCTTCTGATGGGCCCCCCACGTTCTTAGCTGCTCAAAAAGCCGTTTTCAGAGTAGTTTCCATCTTGACTATCGGACCAAAGTCGGTAGGCAGTCCATTAGCGAACCTCTCAATCTTGGAGAGTTCTGTTGGCACTAGGTACGGAAATAACTTCATTTTCTCAGTGAATGTCGTAGCATAGTCATCTACACTCATCTTCCCTTTCTTCAAGTTTTGGAACTCATTGTTCAGATCAATCAGATCTATCTCTGAACAATATTACGCCGTTAGTTGTTCCAAGAACTCCTCCCATGACATTTTTAAAGCTTCTCCTCGTGGCATAGTATCTGCCAACAACTTCCACCAGCTCAAGACTCCAGTCTTCTGTTGCCTAACTGCAAAGACAGTCTTCTGTTTGTTGCTACAGTCGCAACTTTCAAATACCATCTCCATTTCGGAGATCCAATCCATAATTTCAACAGACTTTGGGCTCCCAGAAAGACTTGGTAGTTTCACGCCCAAGAAATTCTTGTACATTCGCCCATCATTGTTGGTTCTCCTTTCCGGATCGTTCCTTCGTTCTTCTTGAGTCCCTATTTGACTCACAATGTGACTATTGTTCCCATCCTCCGATTGTTCGAGAATCGGTTCGGGTTCCACTTTAGGTATGATAGGTTCGTCCCTATTTCCATGCAACATCTGTCGCATTTCTTCCCTTTATTCGGCTAACATAACCTGAATCATGGCTTGCACTCCAACCATGGTGATCTGTTCTGGTGCAGCAGCTTCAACAGCTACGTGTTGAATCACAGGCGGTTGATTCCTGTTCTCGTTTGCGTTTCCAACACCGCTTCTTGTTCTCACCATTTTTTATCTATACACCGAATAAGGTGAAATTTAGATCTTCATTCACGATAGATATTCAAGTCATCCATATCACTCCGAAAACGATTACATGCTAGTTCTAATATCGTAGACATACGCTTAGAATCCTACACACATAAGGTTTCTAGATCCGGTCGACAACAGACCATAGATCCGAACAAATAATATCATATATGGCAACATATAACATTTATCACATAAAAGCATGTTAGGCAACTTTCCTAAAATAAACTAGTGCTCGTGTCTAAAACATAACAGACACACATCTCAAAATTCCACTTAGCATTTTAAGTTTAAGTCTAGGAATCCTACAAATTCCTAGTTCGCTTAAACTAATGCTCTGATACCAACTGTGACATCCCCAAAATCTCGGCCAGAAAAGACCGATTTCATTTATGCTTTTTAAAATAATTTTCAGAGTAAATCCTTTTAATTTTAAAAGAGATGCAGAATTTGTTCCCAAAAACAAAACATGATAAAATAGATATCCTTTTAATTTTAAAAGAGATGCGGAATTTGTTCCCAAAAACAAAACATGATAAAATAGATATTTATCAAACAATTTATAAAGAAATGTGATTTCATTTCATAATCAAAGTCGGGATGTCATGTTCCGATACAGATAATAAAGCATAAACGATAGCATTACAAGTCATTCAACAAATATATACATATACAGACTTGTAAACAAAACAACTTGATGATTCGCCCACCTTAAGCTCTTGCGCCACTTCCTGTAATACAAATAAACTGAGTGGGTTAGGATTGGGAGCCTGGTGAGCATATGGGGTTTTCAACCCACAATAAATAATTATATTTAATTCAACAATCAACAATAAACTCGATTACCCATTCCCGTTATCATCACTTTACGTCCCTAAAAATAACATCTATTATAAGGAACCTAATTCAGGATTTTCATCGGGACGGACATTACTGCAGAGGGGCTTCCTCAACAATGAGTGTTCTAAAGACAACCATGTGGGGGATAGAGTACACCGGTGAACACGTCGTTCACAACACCTACAGGTAATGAGCCTGCTAGTGTTCCACAGGACAGTCTAGAATAGTCCGTGGTCATCATCCATACTTTGCTGAATGACTAGAATAACACCAATAACACCGAGGCCTCTCATCTCTTTATTACACACCAATTACCTACCCATGTTCTACCCAATATATTAGTAGATAAAAATGTACATTTTTATACATTGTTTAAAAACCTGTATAGCATGCTTTAATCAATATATATTCCACATAACAGATGAGGTATACACACATAACATGTATTTCATAGAGAATACATTAGATCTATAAGATAGAAGAGAGTGAATATACACTCACACGTATAACAACAAAATATATACACATAACATGTATTTTATATAAAATACTTCATAATATTGCGTTGGAATGAAAATAACTACACACTCACTTGATCAGAAGATGATCGGGTATCACTACGGCTTGTAGAAGAGGTGTTTCTCCGTAGATCTGGAAGATCTTCACAAAAACCGGCTCTTCGCGGGCAGCGCTTCGGCTCGGGAATAACGCTCTTCGGGATCCTCGGGGCTTCGAATCTTACTTCGGGGCTCAGAAATATTACCGGGGCTTCGGGGTACAAACGGCACGCAAAATGAGGCAAAAACTAAAGAGAAGAAAGAGTTTGAACAAGAGAAAATGATTGATTTCGAGTTCTATTTATAGGCTGTTGGGTCTGGGATTACGCTGGGCGTAATTTGACGTCATTGTGTACTCGGGTTACGCTGGGTGTACTTTGACGTCATTGTGTGCGTCGACTAGTGGCACTCGAGTATTGGTCAGACAAGTTGCATCCGACTAAGTACGCTGGACGTACTCAAATTACGCTCGGCGTAATTTGACTTGTCAACTTCTAAATTACGTAACTTTCACATACGAGCTCCGTTTTCGACGTTCTTTATATCCACGCGTAGGTCAGACCATACTCTACAACTTTCATTTAGACTCCGTCGGCTAATTTTGACTTTTATTTTTATTATTTATTTTTAGAAGGTCGGGACAGAAAATTTCGTTTCACTTTTTACGTCGTTCAGCGTTGTCGGTTCTGTCGCAAAACTTCGACATGTCATAACTTCTTCGTTATAACTCGGATTTCGGCATTCTTTATATATTCGGAAACCTCATTTCAACTACTACAACATTATCCAAAGATATCAAGTTTATTTTACACTTAAATTTTGATGCTCATTTTATTCTTAATTAATCACATCACATAATTAAGCAATTAAGCACGAAACACATAATATTCAAATAACACGTTCTTATTATTTCAAATTGGGTTACAAAGGTTAACCTAGATTATTACATTGCTAAAAATGGCAAGCCCAGAAACACGGGCGTTACAACAATTATTCTCAAACATTCTAACACAATACATCTATATAAAATAAATTCTAATAGAATACATTACATAATTCAAGAGTTGTGATTGAATACCGAATTCAATAGCTGTGATTGAATCATCAACATGCATATGCATTCATTCCTAGTAAACACTAGAGTATGTATTCATAATTCACAGCAAGGTAAAGAAGAAGATGAAAATGAACAGAAAAGAAACGAATTTGGAATACCTGGCTAGAAGAAGGCTTGTGTTCACCATGTAAGACAACCACCCATAAACACTCAGTAAACCCAAGATCATACACCCTCACCATTGAATAAAAAACAATCAGCCCCACCATGGCATTTTCTGGCAACTGTGCAACAATCAACACCAACTCATTCTTAAGTTCTTGAAGTTCATCCTCACTTACACTACCATCAACGACAAAAACAAACGCCGGTTGAATCGTCAACACACATCTGCATTCGTTCCCGGTCAAGAACACAAGAAACAAACACCCACGAATTCCCCTGTCAAATACCAAAACCCAACCAAACCATGAGTTATGTTCAAACAATCAAACCCATATCCCTTTCACTATCATCAATTTTTCCAGGAAAACCCAAACACAAATTCTTTCCTTTGATTTCTATCAAGCAATCAAACAAAAACAAAAAGAAGAAAAAGAATTTTCTTTTACCTGTTGGCACAGTTCACCGGAGAAGAAGAAGCATCGATCCACGAGCACCACATAACCACCCTTGTGACTGCTTCCCACCAAATTCCTCTTCTTGAACAGACAAAGACAGAGGACCGAAGTCCTTTCTCCCCCTTCGTGAGTGGATACCGATCGAACCAGAAAAGAAAAGAGATCGCCGATGCAGCCCTTCCTGCCGTCTATCCCTCCCTCGGCGGAGCTGCTTCGCCAACTCCGATACCCCACCTCGGTTTGCATCTTTAATTTGGTTTCTTCCCCGATAAACTGAAGATGAAGATCGATGAGAGGATGAGAGAGGAGGGTGGAGAAGTCATGCAAAGCAGCAACATTGTGGTGGTTGATGGGTGGTAGGACGGTAGCCGCATGTTATTGTTTTTCTGATTCTATTTTACAGTAGATTAATAAGGGGGGGGGGGAGGGGAGAGAGGGGAGTTGATGATGGTGATCAAGGGGGTGTTTGGGGGTTTTTGGGTCGATGAAAACATGAAGAAAAGGTGGTGGTATATGGTGGTGTTGTGGTGGTCATTTAAACCAAAAGAAGGAAGAAGAATAGATAGATGAGGGTTTGAGACTTATGTTGCTGTGATTTGTGTGAGGCTTGAAGGTTCCTAATGGCTTCCATTTATAGGTAAAAGACATACATACAACCCTGAAGAGCCATGCTTCCCAACCATGCCTTCTACCTTGTAATTGAGATGTGCAAAAACCAAAGGAAAGGTTGTCATCACACGTGGGCAAGGGAAAGAGATCGCCAAAAAAATCTGATTTTTGTCAAGCATGGCTAGGGTTTCTCCTAAGAGGTTCTAGATATGATGGAGGTTAAGAAAATACCCTAAAACATGAATCCTTACCTTTAAATACCTTGAAAACCCTACAAATTTTGTGGGCTTTGGGTTGCATAGTACTCATGTCGTGAGAATGTAATCTCACCTCATGAGGACTCTCATGTCATGAGAATTACTTTTCACCTAGTGAGAACGGGTTTTTACCCAATTTCACCCCAACTTCAAACAGTCATAACTTCTTCGTTTCAACTTCATTTTCAGTGTTCTTTATATGAACTGAAAGGTATTGAGGAGCCCCAGAACCCTATCTAATTACTTTTCACTTAATACATGTTGAAATAAAACTATAATCCATGCAAGTAGCCCGAAATATTACTTTTCCCATTTTACCCTTTTTCTTCTAAGTGCAAATCAAAGGCTTTAAACACTTATCCAACATTATCGTCCTTTAATAAGGTCTAAACCCCAATCCCTTGAAACCCAATGCATGTACTTGGTCAATTTAATGTCCACAATCCTGAAATAAGAGACTTCTCGAAACACAATATTACAAGATGACCTTATATGATCATATATTATTAGAAAATGTCATTTCACAATGATTCTTGAGCATATAAATCTTTCATCTCTTAATGCATGATTGTTAGGATGCAAAATTCTTTGTGGATGATGACTAGAAAAGACTTGGAAACCCCAAATTAGACATGTGGGTTTTTGGTTTATGAGTTGAGAGAGAGAGAGAGAGAGAGAGAGAGAGAGTCTTATATGCACCCTATATGTGGTGTGTTATATCATTTGTTGGGTGTACTTAAGAGGTGTATTCTTTAAGAGTTGTGAGTTAAGTTAATTAATTAGACTAGATCCATATCATAGATAAACCATGAAGATTCAAGCTATTATTTCATGGAACGGTTGATTATTTGACAATTCAATTGATTTTGGTATATCTCTCGATTTTATGAAATCATGTTCTTATTTTTGTTTCACTCTTCATTTGTTTTATGTTGGATCCAATTTGAAATTCATCCTAAAGATATGGTACTATTCATTCTTATTGTATCGATGGCTTTTAATTCAACCCAAGTTTCTATTCGGTTACCGTCAATTGGACACAATAACTTGATCCCAAGATATATTCTTGATTTATTCACGTGATGTCTTTTATTTACTACACACATACTGCTCATATCATCTATTAAGTTCTTACTTCATTATTGTTCCGATGGGAATCGAGATAACGATTTGTTTTTTTCGACTTGCATCTAGATTTTGCATATTCTCAAAAGTGGTTAACGCTTAACAAATTCTTTAGTTAATCGATGTGTTTCGTTTTAATGTTCTTCGCCATCACGATCTTGAAATTATTTATGATCGATTTCAAATTTACTTAATGAATCTAATTATTTATTCATACACATCATTGAATTCAATTTGCTTTTGTTATATATAATCGAAACTAGAAAGTTGACGACACAGCAAAATCAATAATTGTATATGATGATTTGCTATGAATTAAGGTATGTGTTTTTTAGAACAAAACATACGATAGTTAAATCGAATATTGGCAAACTATAATTGTATTTTGTATTACTAGGTATGAGGTCCATATACTATATGTGTGTTAATTTAATATATATATATATATATATATATATATATATATATATATATATATATATATATATATATATATATATATATATATATATATATATATATATATATATAAAGATCTAAATATTTGAGAATTTTAAATTTATAAGAAAATAAAAAAAAAATATTGAATTACTAAAATTAAAATGTTATTTTATCTTTTAAACTGAAATATATAAACAAAAGAAACTAATGAGCTTTAATTTGAGAATTTTGAAATTAAAAGGTAAGTCTATTAATGAAATTGATATCATTTTATTAGTAATTTAGTATATTTATTGTAATTATTACATTAAAATATTATGTGTAATTTAATAAAATAAGAAAACACATAAAATGAGATGTGTACAAAAAAATATCCATTTATTAGTGTATTTATTATATTAAAATATTATGTGGAATTTAATAAAATAAGAAAACCCATACAATGACATGTAGAAAAAATAATTCAAGATAAATATAAAATAACAATTGGCAAATTGAATGAAAGTGTGACATGTGGTAAAAAATCTTCATTTATTAAAGTAGATTGGTCTTTTTACGATGTATCTATTTTGATCTTTTACCGGATAACGGTCCAACCATTTTTTAGGGTTAGTTTTTTTTTTTTTTTTTTTTTTTTCACTCATTATATGACACTTACAACTTGCAAAGTAGGGAAAATGAGTCTGGAGGGTACCATTTAACCCGCTATCACAGTTAGCCAATCAAAAGCCGGTGAAAAGGGTTATGGTGAACACAAACAATAAGTTCGATGGTATATTGGATACAAAAAAAAAAAAAAAAAAAAAAAAAAAAAAAAATCACCAAATGAGAACAAACTCCCTCCTGAGTCATTTTCTCTTTACTCATTTATAGAAATTCCCACGTCATCTCCTACTCATATTAATGATTTTATGAGATTCATTATTGGTTCTCTTCAAAACATAACCCACGAAAGAACATTATTCATAAATGTACAACTTTGTAATGCATTTGAATATTTATTAGGGGGATCTTGATTGAGCCGGTGCATTTCATTACTAGATTACATTTCCAATCAAAACAATTTATCGTATCATGGATTCTGAACAAGTTTATAAACGAGTAGAGTCACAAGTGCTATGATTTTTTAATTTACTTGACCTTAAGATTAGGAGCAGGGCTAGAATTTTTGAATGAGGGGGGCTTGAACTTACAACGTAATATATATATATATATATATATATATATATATATATATATATATATATATATATATATATATATATATATAATAAGCCATTAGAATAGAGATATATGTCTATATTGTAATTTACGGTCCTATATCATAAAACACATTGTAGTAAGAAAAGTAGTAGTACGTAGTGCATTGTTACTTGTGCAGAATGTGTTTGATGTTTTCTGAAGAAAAAAAACATTAATAACAACACATTATTATCCAATTCATTAGTTACAATTAAATTCCAACGATGAAGATGAAGCATATATGTGACGGTGGGCTTTGAGGAGTAATACATCAATACCATGGAGTTACGGGGGCATAACACCCACTAGTCCCTCTATTGGCTCCACCCCTGCTTAAGATCAAATTCATGAGATAAGATACAAGATCTTGCAATTTTTGCAGATACATCACCATAATATATATATTGAGATAAACGTGTATGGTGATAAATATACCTCTCATATACAGTTATATCCTTTTGCAGAGAGTTGTTGAAAGCTAACCACAGTAAGTATAGCATAGACCATGTTTTGACGAAGCTACCCTTCCGAAACGCTCTTAATGTACATTATGGCCTAAGAAAGTTACAATCTTTGATACTTTTGTAGCTTTAATTTCATTTAACTTTTTTGGGAAAAATGACTCATAAAGATAACCAACTGTTGAGTTTGTTATCATTTGGTCTGTTTTCTTTTTTTGTACCTTATACACCATCGAACTAGTTGTTTGTGTACACCATAACCTTTTGACAGAGTGACACCGGTGATAGCCGGCCAAAAGAGTTATGGTGAACATAAACAAGTTTGATGATATATTAGGTATAAAAAAAATGGACCAAATGACAACAAACTCAACAGTTAGTTATATTTCAGAGTCATTTTTACCTGCAAAGTATCTTTAAGTTATTTTTTATATTATTTTCGTACCTAACATAACATGGAATTAATGTTAGCTCACTGGTAAGCGGTTTTTCTCTAAACCAAGACCAAACTTCAATTCTTTGAAGGCATGATTTTAATTTTTTTTTACCAGGGTCAATATGGCAGGTATTTTTGTGCGCATTAACACCAAACCCGCCCAAGGTGCTAGATCCGAAAAAAATCGGACCCACCTAACTACTAGACCCAATTATAGCCCCTTCACTTTTCATTTTTACAGTTTAACCCAAATTGTTTTCTTTTTACTGTTTTATCACAACGTTTTAAACTTTTTTAAGAATTTTGTTTACTTTTTTAAAAATTTAACCCAATTATTTACAAATTTGGTAAAAATAATTTATAGATTACAAAATTTCCACAATATCTTTTTATATTTTTTTAAACTTACTTTTTTATACCATTTATATACAACTTTGTGTAAATCTTTTTTTCCAACATTCTTTACATATTCACTCGAAAAAGTTTACAACTTTTCCTAAATAAATTTCGACTTTGATTTTTTATGTTTTTCTACTGAATAGTTTTTACTATTTTTGTTTGCATAATCTTTTACATCTTTTTTTTTTTTCAAACTTCCTCCGAAAACACATCAAACAAATATATGAATTGGGTAAATATTAATGGAAAACAATATAATGTTTCCAATTCATCAAATGAGAAGGTTTTCTTTATATTATGGCTCCTAACGTAGATTGTTATTGCACACATAATAAAAGTAGATCTTGGTTTATGGAATTAGAAGAAGGTAAGAACTCATGCTTTTTCACCTCATTTTTACTAATGCGCAGCATCGTTTAACCATCACCGATGTACCACACCAATGGTTTTCAACCTTACTTAAGGTCTGAGGTTCGAAACCCAACATCGTCTTTCTTTTTAATATTTTCTACCAAGATAGTTATTGGAGTATTTTTACATAGCAACTTATTTATTGCTAATGATTTTGTTGTTTTCTAACCATATTGTTTATTTATTATATGTTTGTATTATCAATTTTTTCAAAAAATGTAAAATTTCAAGATTATGATATCACTTTTATTTTTGAAAGTATTTGACTTTTGTTTTGTTTCTCTTTCTAAATCTATGTATTATATATGATCATTTATCATAATCAAACGTAGCTAACGACAACCATTATGAATAACAACAAAAAGTTTATCAATCATCTATGTAACAATAATTGTCTAATATATATA